TCGTGTGTGTGTGTGTGTGTTGTGTGTGGTGTGTGTGTGTGTGTGTGTGTGTGTGTGTGGTGTGTGTGTTGTGTGGTGTGTCGTGTGTGTGTTGACTTCCTTTCCAAGGCCATACATATCCCCTTGAAGTCATAAGTCGTACCTGGGACAAAAGAATGTGATAGAAACAGAGTCTGACTGAATTTCCCAACTTGTAAAGACTTATACCAGGTCATACTCCTGGGAAAATTACCTAATGGTCTGTGACTAACGAGTTATAAAAAATTTCAAGACCTTTTTTTGTAAGAGACCTTGCTGATACCTCAACTTGCTTTCTTCGTTGCAGGGAAACATACACATTTGGATTAAACCCTATGTTAGACTAAGATAATACAAATACCGTGAGGGAACATAAAAGTCAACTAACAAACACGAGTGGAGGTACCGCAGCCCACTCCATCGACCGGCGTGACTCTCGGGGAGGAGAGACGTGTCTCGGGAGCACCTGCTTTCCGCGCCATTTGTCGTACACGCGAGGCTCGAGGCACCACCCTGCCACCTGGACACCTCCCCAAGTAAGTCCAATAATACTCCAAAATCATTAATGCCAACGGTTTTTTGTTGTTTGTCGAGAAATAAAGATTGTGCGTATCTCCTGTATGTTCGACATTTTCTCGTTTGTGTCGTAAGTAGCCAATGTTCATCCTCTACAGGGCTAGGCTAGTACTAGAAAGTTTTCTAGCCTGAGCCCTACTTTTTTCAGCCCCTAGCCCTAAAAATAAAAAGTAAATAAAAATATTTATGGAAAAAAATTTACAACCATAAGTTACCATGTTTTGTTTTTACCCTGGTACAAGTTCACGAATTTCAGTAGGATCCGGAATCAAAACCAAAGTATTAATGTGTTGTAGTGACATACACAACGAAGAAAACCCCGAACAAAAGTATCGGACCAACGAATAAAGAGAGTTTAGACCGTTGTCTCACCCGTTCCCGCGTCACCAGATTAACATCGTCATTCGATTGCTCATGACTTCGAATAAAACAAAACTAAGGTTAACGACCCGACCTTGACTTGACTAGGTCTAACGAACGACACTTTCTTTCTTCGATAAGGTAACAACCTCATCCTTTATAGGCTTAAATTTATTTTTTTATTGGAATTCGCTGTTTTACTTACAAAAAAGAAAAAAAAAGAAGAATTACGTACCGTATTTCTTCAGCCTAGTTTAGCCTTAGCCGTTTACAGTTTTCAGTTTACTAGCCCTTAGCGCTAGGTCCTCGTTTTTTTCCACTAGCCCTGTAGGGATTAATTTCGTGTGTGTTCTTAAACTTACAGTCCAGTTTATGACATCCAGTTTGTCACCAACACTAAAGGTATAGACACATACACCACACACAACACACACACACACACACACACACACACACGACACGACAAGCACCACACACACACACACACACACCACACGCGGATAATAGTGGTCTCGTTGTCTATCCACTATGAAACCAAAGTAACCTTAGTCTCTTTAGTCCACACGCGTAAACGACAAAAAACACACACATCGAGAAGAATAAATGAGAATAAATAAAATCGGAGACCTTTCGATTGACGCAAATTTAATTTGATGCATTTAGTTGGTGATTGTAGTGATGTACAAAATTTGAATTTCCAAGCCCATTAAATAAAGTCTTTGTGCAAAAACCCTAATAAGTTCCACCTGTACAGAAATTGTAGGGGCATCGTCTCACTTTATATACACTTTACGTAAACTGTTATGTTAGTTATTTCTTCTTACAGGTAGACACCTTCGGCACCGCGAAAATTTTTCGTGCCATGGTTAGTAAATCGCGGGCACCGATTTTTCATTGACCCTCTCCGGATGCGACGGACCAGGCTAGAACACAGTGTCGTTACCGGGGGATTGTGGAACCATGTTTTGTTTGAATTTTTCATCGGAAGTGAGTTTGTAAAGTGTGAATGCGTGTGCTTAGACTGTCTGCATGCGTGTGTAATTGTGTAATGATATCAGAGTTTTTCTCTATGTGTGGATGTGCGTGCGTGCGTGAGTGCGTGCGTGTGTGTCGCTGCCCAAACCAACCCCAGGGGGACACGGGCTTTGTTTGTGTGAGAGAGTTTGGGAAAAAGAGAGACAGAATGAAAGAAAGTGTGTGTGTGTGTGTGTGTGTGTGTGTGTGTGTGTGTGTGTGTGTGTGTTTGTGTGTGTGTTTGTGTGTATGTATGTTTGTGTGTATGTATATTATGATGGTTTCCCTCATTAACCACGAGCTCTTTTCCATGAGTGTGTGTCTGTTTGATGATATTCATGATTTTTTTTGGTTCATATCCGTCCAAATCTGCATTTTCTTGTGTTTGTGCGTATGTCTGTGTGTGTGCGTGTCTGTGTGCGTGTGTGTTTCTTTGCTGAGTCACTGTCTCTCCCCTCGGCAGTCACCGCTCTTACAGAGCAGATCATCATGGAGAAACCTTTTCAAAATTATATATTTTTTCCTCCGTACACCATTTTTATCTCCTTTTTTTCCATCTATTTCTCTGTTATTGACCGTTGTATTTAACATAAAGAGGCTTCTTGGCCAGAAGAGAGTAAATCCACTTAACTTCTTCATCCTTCACCTTGTTTTTTGTCACCTTTTTTTCCTCCTTTTTTTTCCTTGTGTTTTTTCCTAAAGTTGATAACAAAAAGCTACTTAAATATTGAGTGTTCTGGTCAGAAGTGTGGATTCATGTCACATGACTTGGACTCGAGTCATGAATTTTAACGACACAATCAATAAAAGTTCTACACTTTGACTTTAACACAAATAATAATACTCTCCCCATGCCAAAAGATTAAAAATGATGTTGTAAAAACTGCAACAGGATATACATATTGCATGTGAACACCAGGAACAACGATGGTAATAAGTACAGGAGGTTATTATTGTATCCATTATGCTGTATTAGAAATAAATCAGGACACACCTAATCAGTTTTGGATGTTAGGGTTAGCTGAAAGTGATGCACATACATTTTCAGAAGCATGCATACTTACTTTATTTTAAAGTTTAAAATGGCAGCAAGGTTTGATTAAATTCAAAACAAAAAAAGTTCTAACATGAACTTGTCTGAGGACTCCAGACTTGAACAGCAGATACCTTTTTTACAAATATTTATTTTATTATTATTAAACAATCATTCCCTCTAATATTCCGAATCATACTAGAATTCGATACCTTTCTAAATATCACACTTAGTTATTTTTTCAAATCGGGTAGCACTTCTCCCAGGGATCTATAATTGACCAGTCCTAAATGCACTTTGTTTGCAGAGCTGGAGGAGGCCCATAAGAAGTGCCACCCGTGCTGGTACGTGTTCGCCCACAAGTACCTGGTGTGGGAGTGCTCCCCCTCCTGGCTGAGGCTGAAGCAGCTGGTGAACATCATGGTGATGGACCCCTTCCTAGACCTGGCCATCACCGTGTGCATCGTCCTCAACACGCTCTTCATGGCCATGGAGCACTACCCCATGACCGACGAGTTCAACGGCATGCTGAGCATCGGCAACCTGGTAGGAAGGAGGGAGGGAGGGAGGGAGGAGGGATGGGTGTGTTTATTTCGGGTGGGTGGATGGTAGAATAGAAGGGCGGATGGGTGGGTGTACATATATATTGATGAATTGATTGGTAGCTTTGTGTATTGATAGATTGAGGGATGGATGGATAATATATTGGATGGATGGATGGATAATATGGTGGATGGATGGATAATATGGTGGATGGATGAATGGATGAATACAAATATTTGGTTGATGGATGGATGGATGGATAGATGGCTGGAACATAAATCGATGAATGAGTGGTTGGTTGGTTGGTTGAGGGAAGGATGGACCATTAGTTGGTTTGTGAGTGGGAGGATGGATAGATAAATGGATGTTAAATAGACGGATACGTGGTTGGAGGATAGATGGATACATAAATGGATGTTGGATGGATATATGAGTACATAAATTATGGATGGATAAATGGATGGACGAATAGATACATTGTTGAAGGGATGGATGGGTTAAAGATTTTGCCATCGAGTGTGCATTTTATTCATCCCAGTGAAATGTGTCCTAGAACTTGCGTGCAGTAACATGTATAGTGACATGCTGGTAAAAATATTATATGGAATGCTTTTTCTATGTAGGAAAAATAAGGGAGAAAAATCCAAGCAGATTCTGCTCCGAAAGGAGAGAGTAGGGTAGGCAACAACTGTAGACCGTGGACCAATAGTTGTCAGTTAACATTTATTTGCAAATTAAGTCTGCCTGACTTGAGTTCCACAAAGGAAGAAAGAAAGAAAATACATTTTGTTTGCACTATACAACGTTTATCAATATATATTATTAAGTTGGAGCGATTTGGTCTTCTGAAGAATCTGGATGAACATCGTACCAACTTTTTCTTGGAATATTGTAAAGCACGTTTCTCCTCCTTTACTGTGTGGGATAAACAAACTCCAGGCGAGTTAGATTGAGGGACAAAGAATCCTGCTTGCGAAACAACTCTTAGACCTTTGGATTTGCCCCGAACCCATTTGTACAATTTACAAACCTCTGGACTGAACCTCCGACAAATAGACTCTTTGCTCTTGTAGGATTTTTTTATTTTGGTCCTTCACTAGAAAGTCGAGGTGAGTTTGAGTATTGGATCTGACAGAACCGGGTCGGGTGTTTTACGCAGCGTGACTAACGCCGTGTTCGACCCCGCAGGTGTGCTGTTGATCTGACAGCAGCTGATAGGTTGATGCAATATGCTAATCGCTTCACCTGAGGTGTGAACTGCTAGGGGCACCATGTTGATCACACCTGCCAACACACACACACACACACACACACACGTATCTGTCCATGGATGTCAGGTTTCCTCAGTTCAGGCTGCAGGCAGCTGTTTGGGGCAGAGAATGGTAATAAAGTGTAAAAGTAGAAACAGGGGCTGTCGGCCTGCAGCAGTGCGGTTCAATCACCAGGTCAGTGCTTAAAGGCAGGACACTGAGAGCGGATAGATTCTTTTATAACATCTATGATAACCTAGTTTTCAGGTACAGTGAATAATTTACCTGAAGGAATAAGTACAGTTTAGATTTGAAATTTTTTTTTTTTTCAGGACTGAAATCAAGACTCTGTGAAAAAGAATTCTCACTAATCCAGTAATTTAGCTTCTACCCTACTGCCCTACTTTTCCCAGTGCACCCAAATATTTGAAGCCAACATTTTTCCATTTATACACTACAAAAAATAAATGTGTTATTTATAAAATCCATTTCATGTAAATGGCCTTTCAAAATGCAGAAATTATGTTTTGAGGCTGTTTCCCACCCACTTTGCTAATCTGCTTTCAGATGTTTTTTGTCTGTCTGATACATTTTGTCTGTCTGATACATTTTGTCTGTCTGATACATGCACCACTCGTGTAGACCTTTTTAAAAAAAAAACCTGTTACCTGCAAAGAGACGAGATTCATTCCCATTTTAATATCCATCAATCAATTAACTATACACCAACGTATCCTCTGCAGAGTCAAAGGAAACCTGAGCAGGAAATGGGGTGCATTTTTCAAATCTACGCAGGAAAAGGACCTTGTAGGTTTGATTGAAGTGGCCACAAAGAAGTAAAGCACCTCATCGACCACAAAGAAATAAATAATAAACAGATCAAACATGGCTTTCAATCAGGCATTATATCCCCTCCTAGTTTGTCCACAGTTTGATGAGTGAAAACCCGGTACACTTGAGCATGGTCACATGAGTCACCATTGCTTAGGTGGCTAATGTTTGCCAAGATGACATCTATTAGTCTCATTTAGACACTTTTTAGCAACCGCTATTTTTAAATTCACCAATGCGATATTTAAATATGTTCAGCTTGTGTTAAACACAGACCTTATTTCAGTCTTCTAAGCAAAAATATGTTCAAAAGAAACACTGGCTTACAAACGGTTGAACAGGAAGTGTTTAACAATGACTCATTTCTGGGTTTTAGGACTCATTTCGCACCACTCTTTAAAGTGCCTTACATTTACAAGTCACCCATTCACACACCCCATTGATACGGAGCTAGGTGCCAGTTGCAAGCTAACAATCACACACATTTACACACTGTTGGCTATGCCATCTTGAGCGACTCAGGGTTAAGTATCTTGCCAAAGGATACAATAACATGGTTTGGATCGAACACATAACAATTCGTTTTAAAAGCGACCGCAAAGCCTCACAGCCACAGTTGCCGCATATAGAGAGCGATATCTACCGTATAATTAAGTGATAATTGGTTTATTTTATGCACCATTATTCTCTCAGAATGCTTTCACCCCATCCTTTGCTGTTGTATAACCTCCCTCTAATATTTCCTCTTCGGCTTTAAAATGTCTGTATACTTCTGCAGCGTAAACAGTCTAAACTTTATTAAATGTATTCGGTTCAGGTCTCAGACAAAAGCTGAGTCACGTCAAAAGGATCCGATTTCAGTCTGCAGTCGCTAAGTTCTTTATGGGATAATTCCTCTAAGCTCCTCAGATGTTTACATAGCATTTAGCTGGCCTTTCTGACCGTCAGTGTGTGTGTGTCTGTGTGTGTTTGTGTGTGTTATATAAGGTAATGTGTTGAGGATCATGCCAGGACATTCCTGACAGGATCGATGTGTACTAATGCTTCCTCTGTTTGTTGTTGTTTGTTTTGTGCTCTGCAGCTTTGCTCACATGTCAATAGTTCTATGCATGTATTTAAAGGATGCATACCATTTAGTGTAGGCTTTTATCCATAAAGAGCCCCTCCTCTCCTGAGTGTACTTTAGCTTTTACGTCTCTAATAGTTACAGATAGGGGTTGGCACAGTGGGGGAAAAACAAATGCATATTGATATATGGCATTTATTTACAACTGACAGTAGGTAGTGCAAAAACAGACAACAACCTCCTGCTGGAGACTGATTAGAGGTGGGAAAGTATTCCAATTTATTCAAGTAAGAGTACCGATACCACTCTGTTCAAATACTGTTATATGTAATAGTACTGTTTAAAAAAGGTTACTTAAATAAAATTAAAGTGGACCCATCATGCTATATTTGAATAATATATTGTAGGGCCATACCTATATAAAACGTGTCTGTGAAGTTTTTTTTTCAAAATACCAAACAGATCATGCATTTTAGCCATGCCTCATTTCGCTCTATTTGCTGTATTCCAGCCCTGTTTTTGCAAGGGCTGATTATGTGGCTACAGCGCCACTTACAGGCCTGGCATATGTACTACATCGTCTCCAGCGCTTTCGAGCGGTCTGTGAA